CAGATCTGGAGTTGGTGGGACGCAGCATGGCGATATCTGACTGGAAAAGACCTCCCATGGGACCTGGCCACACTGCTGTTGGGAAACACTGACAAACTTTCCGCATCCTGGTCCGCCTTCGAAAGGAACCTGTGTTGCCTATACGGGGTTCGAAGTCCTCGTGAGTATCTGGAGGGCTAGGTGCTCCCATGAACATCATCAACACGCCTTCGGCTACATGCAAGCCAAACACCACATTGTTGACACTATGAGATCAAACATACACAGGGCCTGGTCGAACCTGCAGGAAAAGCTGCAGCGGTTGTCCGACAAACCGCAGCAACAAAACGAGGAAATAGAAGAGTTTTTTTTTTTTTTGTTTTTTTTTTTTTTGAAACTTCGTGTACAGGAAACTACTTAACAAGGTGATAAGAGCATCCCCGGTAAGTAGGTCCCGGCGTCGAAGGCTCCATCTATTGGTGGGGAGCTACACCTGCTGGAAATTGGGTCCAGTGTCCCTGTACAGTGACGTGAATGTATCTGCTGGAAATGGGGTCCAGCGTCCCCATACGATGATGTGAATGAATCTGCTGGAAATCGGGTCCAGTGTCCCTATTCAGAGATATATTGGTATATCCAACTACCTATGCATGCACGTTAAGCAATCTATGTCTGATGGACCTATCATCTCCTACAGTCAGACACTGTCCAATCTGTCTGTCTTATCTGCAGGAAGCAATCTGTCTGACGGACCTATCATGTCCTACAGCCCGACATTGTCCAATCTGTCAGTCTTATCTGCTGGAAATCGGGTCCAGCGTCCCTGTACGGTGATATGTGAATGAATCTGCTGGAAGTCGGGTCCAGCGGCCCTATGCAGAGATGTATTGATGTCTCCAACCACCTATGCATGCACGTAAGCAATCTATGTCAGATGAACCTATCATGTCCTACAGTCAGAAACTGTGTATATGTACATAAATCCATATAAGACAACATCCAATCTGTATATCATCAATCATCGATTTATACATTTCCCCTGAAGGGAAAACCCTATCCCATTACCGAGCATAGGATCATAGTAAGCGGGGCATGAAGCCCAATTCTGTAAAACAATCCAGAAATCAAGCCCTAACACCGATATGAAGTGAAGCCCAAGAGTTGATGTACTGTATGTGAGCTGGAATCCGAGTCCAGCATCTCCAAAGAATGATGTGTGTAGGCAGACCATATATGCACTTGGCTCACTTGTATCACCAAAAGGAGCAGAGGCATTGATTACTTCCAACCCAGGGGAAGGATTGACCTCCTGCTCGTAAATCTTATATCCTCTATACAATGATGTATATACCTATTATTTCGCACATATGCTCACCAGCAATAGCAAAGGTAATCATCAACAATCCTTTCGTGATTAAAAGTTGAGGGTTAGGAGGATGAGAGGCAATCAAGGGTAATCATCTCAGAGCGATCATCTATCCTATCCCCACCCGGCACCAGAAAAGAAGACATGATTCATCATGAGAAAACACCGGGTAGGGGTGGGGGGGAACAATAACTCTTACCTCCAACATCAAACCCCACTTCACCAGCCGCAACAAGCCACTAATTCTCCCCCACTGTACTGATGGCGGCATCTTTCCCATGATGCTGATAAGGAGCTTGGATGCAGAAGCACCACTCTCTGCCCCTCTGCCCTCATGGTTATCGCTGCCACCGTCGTCGTAATTGTTGTCGTTCTTGTTGCTATTACTGTTGCCATTGTTGTTGTTGTTGTTGTTGTTGTTGTTGTTATCACATTCGTTGTTGTTGACAGTGTCATCCTTCTCACCCTCCTCACCCTTTCCCCCAGTCCCTGATCACCATCGTTGTTCTTGTTACTGTTGTTGTTGTTGTTGTTGACGTCCTCGTTCTTATTGTTGTTGTTATTGTTGTTGTTTTTGTTATCCTCCTTCACGCCCGTCTGAGCCAGTTCGCTCAGTCGCTGCTCGCTGCCGTTATTATTGTTGTTGTCGTTGTTGTTGTCACCCATCCCACCCTTCTCGTCAGTCTCACCCATTCCTTGCCTGTCGTCGTCACCCATCCCACCCTTCTCGCCAATCTCACCCCTTCCTTGCCTGTCGTCTACAACAACCACCACCTCTGCCATACACCCCTGCTACACCTCCATTATTGTTGTTGTTGATGTTGTTGTTGTTACTATTGCTGTATTTGCTTCTGCTTTCGCCGTTGCCGCCGTTTCCATCAATGCCAATAGCCCCCTCTCCCCTTCCCACTCGCCTGCGTCACCATCACCGACTACACTCTCATCATCAACCTTCCACTCACCTGCATCATCAGTGGCATAATCCCTCTCTCCATCACCTGCGGCACCCTCATCCTCTACCGGATAAGAGAGTGCCATCAGGTATACCCACCTCTCTCCTGCCCCTCCCTCATGCTCGTCGCTCTCTCGCACAGCAACATCACAGCTCGTCTCACTTTTGGAATCCCAGCTCTCACACACATCGCAGAGGTTTGTGAAATAGTGCAGCACGTCGAAATCATCATCTTGCTCACCTTCAGTATCCTCTGCAAGCAACAGGTCGTCTTCATTATGGAAGAGCAAATCCTCTAGTGGAAGTGCTCCACGTTGTAGCCCCCCTCCATCTCCATCCCACACCCAGATTGCTGTGCCGCGTATTGCTATTCGTCTCCGTACTTCACCGCTGGCGCTACCCCTGCTCGCGCGTCATGGACGGCCACGTCACCTACAGCGGATGCCACATGGCAATCAAAGAGCCACGCACTTCTGTCGGGTGCGCGTGCAGGGCTAGCAGCCTGGGAGCACACCTCCCCAGGCGTTAGTTGAGCCGAGGGAACCGGGCCTACCGGTCCATCGGCGTCAGGGCGCCACCGTTAGCGCGGCGCTCTAACCACTGAGCAACTAGGAAATAAAAGAGTTTAAAAGCACCTGGCTGGACTCTAATGGAAAAATGGGATTTGGATGACAGCTCCAAACTCAGATGGAAACAATGGCAAAAAACAGGAGTGCCAATGGTCACGGAGGCCGACGCACACATTTACTCTCCCTCTCCAACCAAATCACCTGATTCCCGTGCCTACCACATCCCAGAAACCGGCTCAACCACCTGAACAGTCCCCTCCTGTCACCCCGCCTCCCCCCCCCGACACCACACCCACCCCCCCACCTCTCCCAACGCAACCCCCGCAACCCATCCCATCACCACCACCTACCCTCCCACCATCCCCCCTCGCTGACCGCTTTACGCGCTACCAACAAACCCTCCCATCCACCCCTATCCCCCTCCATCGCCTCCATAACCCCATCTCTTCCGTCACAGCCCCCCC